GGCCCAGGGGCCTCCGCTCGGCCTCCCGCGGCGCCGCCCGAGCTGCAGACGCCGGGCGCCGTCCGTCCCGGGCAGCCTCCTGCCTCCCCCCGTCCTGCCAACCCGACCCCCTTCCCCCCGGGACACCGGGTTCCCAGCCTTGCAAACGACAGACTTCCCCGGGGCCGCAGGTTCTCCTCACACCCACCTCCCCCGCCCTCGGCGCCGCCCGGGCGGGTCCCAGCTAATGTCCCTGCGCAGCCCGCGGGCCAGCGCTGCCCGGGCCCCAGCTCCTGGGGTTTCCTTTACCTGCAGAGCCAGGGCATCTGGCGTGTTTTTAAAAGCTCCCCAAGGATTCTGATTTGCAGCCGGGACTGAGAACGAGGAAACTTAAAGCATTGCCTCTTCCAGGAAGCCTTCCCTGATTATTGCCCCAGCGTCCAATCGGAGTCCTAAGTGTCTGCCTGCTGTGCTTTGCTGTCACCCTGTACATACCATTATTTTGTCACTTTCTTACTCTATTGTGTGTCTGTTTCATTCATTTCAAGACATAATACCGCAGAGGTAATTTAAGACCCCTTCGGAGGTTCCTAATTTAACTTTCTTGGGCATAATTGGCTCCAGAATTTGGTGGAGCTCAGTTCGTATGTTATAAGCAGTGAATACACTCAGAGAAAAGGGGGAAATGGGCCATGAGAAGCAAATTCCCAGCGATGATGAGACGAAAGAAAGTGCAGCATCCCAGGAGGGGACAATCCCTGCCTATAGCTGCTCAAAGTAGGCTTTCAAGCCAGTATGGCCAGTAGTAATAATGTATTTTTTTACCAAAAGTAGCACCTACCATTTAAGGGATTTGACCATTGAAGACTTTGTTTATTCCTGTTCAATGTATGGGGCTCCACAGAACACAGCCAGTGCTAAAAGCTTGGGCTCTGCAGCCAGAATGCCTGCCTTTGAATCCTGGCTCTGCTACCTACCACCTGTGTGACCTTGAATAAGTTACTTAACCTCTCTGGGTCTGTTTCCTCCTGTTTAAAGTGGTGATAATAATTGCACAGGACTTAACCTGGAAAGCTGCTGTGAAGGTTAAATGAATTAATCCATGCCAAGCCCACACTAATTATTTGGTCTTGTGGTTTTGTTATTGAGACTTGCTGCCATAGATGCTACCCCAATAAAAGTATTAGTAAAACATAGTTCCAGCGACCTAATGACGCAGACTGTGTAAGGCTGTGATTTAATGAATTTTCGATGTACACGTAACTTATAGCAGCTTCAGTTGTAACTTTAAGCTGAAGGAGAGACTATTTCTCTTCTCACACAGTAGAAATACCTGTTAATAAGTGGGGGAAAAACCCTCACTTTTCATCAGTGGCCAGGGCTTTGAATTCTTTACAGTAAGTAGTTGTGTTACATAATTCTGCCTGTACCACTGTGTATATCACTCTCATTCCTTTGTAGCACTTGATACACTGATTTAAAAATTCAGTTTAACATAATAATTTGTAAAAATATGAGTTCTGAAAACATTTCTGGTTGGTTGCACTTGGCATTGAAAAAATATATATGTAAACAAGCTCTGTTGGTGTTTGATGAGCAGCGTGGAGGACTCTATCGGCCGGAGGGTCCGCCCTGGATGCCGTGGAGAAGGGCTGTGCTGAGTGTGAGCGCGAGCAGTGTGACGGCACTGTGGGCTTCGGAGGAAGTCCCGATGAGGTTGGGGAGACGACGCTGGATGCCATGATCATGGACGGGTAGGAATTACCAATCCCCAGGACCGATGTGTCTGCATCTTTGTTTCGTGGGGAGTTACATTATAGTTGATCAGTCTTCTACTGAGAGCAAGATGGATGATTTCATAAGCTTTCCGGTCAAAACCCTAGCTTATTACATGGCCTTTCCAAACACAAGGGGTTTTCCTCTCAATTAAAAGAAAATCATCATCATAATAGAAATATCACATGGAGGAAGGTGGTCTCTTTAGCATAGGAGAACCCCAAACTCTAAAAATCTGTCTCTGACCTGGTAAACAGTCATGGACCTGCCATCCACAAATGCCTGGTTCGCCCCACCTGAAGCCTTAAAACCCCTTTCAGAAGCTGTATTAGAATAAGCCAGGAGGTACCGAGAGATTCAGTGCTGTTGGAGTATATGGCAAGTTGACTTTTCGTTTGTCTAATTGTGGGTGTTTGTATGAACTTCATGGATGTGCTGTGACTTCTGTGTGAAGTTGTTTATCCTGTAGATCACTGTGGTTTGAAGTAAAGCAGTTTATGAATCTATGAAAATGCCATCGTAAATCTCATCTCACTTTTTTCTTGCAGCGCGACTATGAACGTAGGGGCAGTCGGAGACCTTAGACGAATTAAAAACGCTGTTGGTGTGGCGCGGAGAGTCCTGGAACATACCACGCACACGCTGTTAGCAGGAGAGTCAGGTATGTGTTAACTGCACTGAAGCACCTAGTTGTCTGTCTCTACTCACTGTGGAAAAAGGACTGAGCATAAAATAGTGGATAAAAGCCGACCAAAGTTCAAATTCCAGCTGTTTTACTCAATATCTTCGGATAAGTTACTTCTAAATTCTCACTTTCTTCATCTTTAAACTAGGATTTTAAAGCATTAGTGTATTGTCTATGGGTGGGGGATTGCTGGACTGGGAGAGGATCCAGCATCACATCTCCCCCTGACTTACCTTTTACGGGTATGAGACCCAGGGAGCATTGTTAACATGAGAAGACTGGAATAGAAGGAGTTTCCCCATGGCATTCCAAGTTAACACCAAAACCCACACAGTGACCTGTAATCAAAAACAACTTTTAACGATATGGATTAGCTAAGAACTCCAAGAGGTGGTCTTCAGTTCCGTTGAAAGACAGAATTGAACACCCCCTAACAGGTGAAGGACCTGCTGTTATTTGTGGACTCCAGTTATCCCTCTGGCATCTCAAAGCTTTTAGACGCTGAGCATTGTGCCCTAGTTAGAGCAATAGGGCTCTTCACTGGTGAGAGGTGCCCCTTCTCTTCTGAAAAGTAGAAGGGAGATTGTCTGTTGGGGAGGAGGAAAGGACAACCATCCTAACACCCCCCCCAAGGGTCCCAAGCAGATCACTTTGGGAAGGTCACAGGGAGGCTGAGATCTAGAAACAGATGCCCTTAGCACTGTTCTTGTCTGCATGCTCCTTTGTGGCCTCTGGGGTGGTGGACCCCCTTTAAGAGAAGCTGAACCACAGTGTTCCTGCACATATAATTGTTTAGAAGATGGTAGTTAACGAGCTTCCATTTTTCTGTTCTTCTGCACCTCCAGCCACCAAGTTTGCCGAAAGTATGGGCTTTGTCAGTGAGGACTTGTCTACCGATACTTCGCGAGCTCTTCATTCAGACTGGCTTGCCCGGAACTGCCAGCCAAATTATTGGAGGGTGTGTACATAAGTTTAAAAAGTAAATGACTTGAAGATATGAGGTGACCTCCCTTCTGCTCTCTGTTGTCTACCTGTTGCCTAAGGTGCTGGTTAGCACCCTGGTTACACTTTACAACCAGTGATTTAAGTTGAGCAGGGCGTGGATGTTCTCGAAAGCCCCTCACTGCGTCTGAGGCATGTCCCCGGAAGAGAGTGGCTGGTCCCTGGCAGTAGTTTTCAGACTTTGAAGGTTCTGCTGTGGGGAGAGGGGGCTGCCTCGATCAGAACGGCTCTGCTTGTATTTCCTTAGAACAGAAGTTTCCACATCTGAAATGTCAAACTTTGGAAACCATTAGTCTAAAGTATTTCATAGGTTTTATCCCTGTGCATTGCCCTCGTGTGGCGGGAGGCTCTGTACTGGTAGATACCTAGCGTGCTACTAGTGGGCTGCTTGATCTTTAAGTCAGTGGGACTTTGAGCATGGGTCAGTCTGCCTTTGCCATTCCGAGTTTTCCTGTGGACTGTTACAGTCTCTCTGTTTCTTCTCTGAATCCTAATTACGCTTGAGTAACCAAGGCGTCTCGGGGTTAGTGCCTGAAGAGGCTGCTGGGTAAAAGCACTGAGTGCACTGATGATAAGACATGAGGGGTAGGCTTCTTGCTCTAATGCTAATCCATATGTTCCACCTAAATCTATGAGTTTGGGTTATTTTCTTGAGCCTTTGAGATTCATAAAGGAATCTGAGAGGTTGAATAACCGCCGTCCTAACATATAACCTAAAATTTAAACTATGTTCGCTTGAACCAAGCTTTGAAAAAAAGATGGTTTTAAAACAGATTTTGCTTTGAATTTCATAATTCTTCTTTGGCCAGGGAACGAATTAGGAAATTTAAAGGTCAGGTGCCATACCAAATTCTGTTGAGCATTAATATCTAACAAAAAATATTCATTTATGTCTGCCATTATGGTGAGAGTTTCAGGCATATAAAGAGAAAAGGGGATCTTTTCCAGACAGGGTAGAGTCCTACCCCACATTATGCAAGTCTGAGACCAGACTAGGTATTCAGTAAAATTATACCCATCTGCTCACAGAAGACTCGTTTAATCTTTGGCTTTTAATTCTTATCTTTCACTTACCAGATGTCCTTTCAGTTTCTTGCTAATGTTCAGTGATTTTCATAGCTACTTGCCGAATTCTAAAATCACCCTTCCTAAGAGAGAAAACTTAATTCTTGTTTACAGAATGTTATACCAGATGCTTCAAAATACTGTGGACCTTACAAGCCACCCAGCATCTTAAAGCAGGAATGTTCTGCCTGTGAGGAAACAGGACCCAGTGCCGGTCACGACACTATTGGTAATTTGCCTTTTGCACAGTTCTCGTGGTTAACGTTAAGCCACTTTAACTCCTGCCTGTGGTTCTTAACTCTCCCATCCCTATCCACGTGGCAGAAGGCGGTTTCGATTGCTTTATAGACAGGTACCCACATGCAGCGTGCACACACACATTCTTTCCTTGCATCTGAGTACATTTTGGTAAATTACCTGTACAAGACCTAATGACTATTCACTCGTGGCTTTCTAAGTTTTTATTTCCATTTAGTTGTGTAGTAATTTGACGTTTGCCACATTCAAGTAATCTTCCCAGGCTGTGATGTTGAAAATGTCCGTTAGTCTGTGTCAGGGATTGTCTCTGGAATGACCTTTGAAAAGGCTGAAAAGTAGCTGAGCAAATGGAGGAACAATACCCTGGGGTGTCTGAAAGCGACGCCCTGAACCAGCTCCTTAAAGTGCACAGATTGTGCCTGGTACTGTTTTCAGTATTCTCAGATTTCCTACTTTCTTCTACCTGAAATTAACGGAAGAGGGTATTTATTTATATCACCAACTGTTCAATTATTTGGTTATATTTGCAGTAAATGTTAGAGTTGATACCTACAGAGATTTTTTTTTAATTCCAGGCATGATTGTAATCCATAAGACGGGACACACTGCCGCTGGTACATCTACTAATGGTATAAAATTCAAAATACCTGGGTCAGTGTTTCTAACAGAACAGCTCTCACAAGTGTGCATTGAGTGGAAACCAGTGTGTGCTTGGTGCTGAGGAGGCACAGAAGTGTAGGCCCAGCTTCATGGCTGAGAAAAACAAATGTGAAAGAAAAGAAATTAGGGTCTGCTACCTGCCAAAAGAGAGTCCTAGGATCGCCGTGGTGATTTGATTAAGCTGGGGTAGAAATGGAGGCCAGTAGGGAGATGCTAGGAGCTGAGCCCGAGCCTCAGGAAGGGAAGGGTGCATCCAGGCCAAGGCACGGACAGGTCCCATGTCCTACACACTCAGTTCAGGGCTCCCGCTGGCGGGACAAGAAATTGTGTGTATGTCAGGTGCAGGGGGGGACCAGTCATATTTCAACAGGTTTTAAGCCAGTTAAGGATTCCAGGACTTTGTGTCAAAGTATAGAAAAGCATTGAAGGTTTATTAGAAGGAAACACCTTGGTATGATTTTGGCACATTAGCTAGAAAGCAGAGATGGACTGTAAGTGAGGAAAACTAATTTGAACCTGTGGAGATGGCCAAGGATGGTAATAACAGAAAGTCAATATAAATCTGTGCCATCTTGATACATAAGCTGGTATCTAATTCTTACATAATTAATGTAGATTTGTGGAAACCTAAGTTGAAACTTATGAAAATCCTTTGTCTGTGTTCTGCTGAAGAAATTAAAGTAGTGATCAGTGGCTAAGTAGCTATATCCGCTATTATTGAAACAGCTCATAAAATTGGTTTTTATACTTGATTTCCTGTCCTAAATTCTTATGCTGTGTCCTCACCAGTCGAATAGGAGACTCGCCAATTCCCGGAGCTGGGGCCTACGCCGATGACACTGCAGGGGCCGCCGCAGCCACTGGGGATGGGGACATCCTGATGCGATTTCTACCAAGGTGTGATTTCCCAGCTGTGTGACTGTGAGACCTGTAAAGGGTTGTCTGTCAGGTAGATAGTGGCTGCTTAATCTGAATGTGTGTACAAGAGCTTCTGAGAAACTCTGCTCACAGTCCTTTACCTATCGTGTTGATAGTACAGTCATTCAACCTAAGCAGCCCTGGTCCTGAGATAGACTAGTATTTCTGACTGTTTCACAGATAAGGATGCTGTGGTCCATGTGAATAATTTGTGTAAGGCCACTGAATAAAGGAGCTGTAGTAACTGATGATAAAAGTCAGAAATGCAGCCCTTTGTCCAATTCCTGGGCGAATCATGACAGCGAGGTGTCTTGCATGGGCCCCGTGTTTTCCCTAATGATTGTAGCCCATTTCGTATTTAAAGATGACCTTTACCCTTTGGGACCTCTGGCTGGTGTTACTAACAGTTCCTTGGCCAAAACCAAAAATAACAGCCCTTCTCTGAAACTGATGGCGGATGAGGTGGAAAGGTAGGCACTGCGTCACGGCCTGCATGCTTTCCCAGGACTGACCCTGCTTGTTCATCTGTCAGATGTGACAGTTTTCATAGTTCTGCATTTCCCACTGAAAGTAACCAAACCTAGAGTTAGTTTATTTTGCGATTCTCATGTTTTGCTTCTGTTCCATCAGCTACCAAGCTGTAGAATATATGAGAGGAGGAGAGAGTCCAACCACAGCTTGCCAGAAAGTCATCTCAAGAATTCAGAAGTATTTTCCCAAGTTCTTTGGAGCTGTCATATGTGCCAACGTGACCGGAAGTTATGGTAAGTTTTATTGGGAATTTGTATTTGTGTGAACTTGCAAATGTTGATGAAAGCACCCTTTTAAATATCAGTAGACAACAACACAGGGACGATATTGAGTAGGCGCTGGGTAAATGTTAATGGGTGGTCTGCCAAGACCATAGAGTGTTAGAAATATGCCTGAAACCCTCCTTTGGTTGACTGCTGGTAGCTATGATTCAGCCTTTGCTATTAGTCCGTATCTGACCTCTGTCCTAAGTACCTGTGAGCTTCAGCTCCAGTCTGTGCTGAGATGGGCCAATCTCATCAGATGCTTTTATTAATTAGAAGTAGAAAGGGGTCAATTATCTTCCCTACTTCTTTCCCATTCATTATTTAAATGTCTCAGTCATTTAGATCTTCTTGGGGCTCCAAGGTACAAAATGTATTGTTAATTAGTAAACCAAAGAAGTTAGCGGAATTATTTTTGTACCAAAGCACGTCCTTTGCCTCATTTAGTTTCTGTAGGAACCTATCGCAGTTTCAAAGCATTTCTGAATCAACCACTGCGGTTTCTCATTAGTGAGGTTTCCAATGGGGAAGATACACAGCTTACCGATCGATGTGACTTACTAGGCCGGACTGCTCATTACTGCTCTTTGATCTTTACTTCCCACAGACCTGTATTTGAAGAACTTGCTTGGAGAATTCCTTACTCTTTTTTAAGTACTAAGATACAAAAGTCAATATAAGTTATGGGAGGGAAAGGCTTTATGTTATAAAATAAGTCAGTTTCATTGATTTCCTCTTAAAAAATAAATCTTAAAAGGCTCTTTGTTGGATTTAATAGGATGTAAAATGATAATTATATAATGATAGCTGAGTTTAAAATTGTAGATAATTACATAATTGTAGATGAGTCTGGTCCCTTAAATTGAAAGTGATGGTGTTAGAAGGGGACCCTCCGGGTGTCTGCCACAGGTAGGCAGGGCGGCGAGAAACCACTTCTGAGAGAGGAACTTGATTAGACTGAGAGCATCTTGACTGATGACTCCGCACTGCCCCTGAGATAGCAGAGCAGAGAAGAGCAGGGAGCCTGGGGAGGGGTGGCTATGGTGAAAGATGGGAACATACTAGTGGTTGGGGGAATAAAATCTTCAGCATGTGCCTGAAAAGATTTTTTTGCTAAGAAAAGAATGTGAAAACAAGTAACAGTAGCAATGACAGTCTGTGCACAGAGCGAAAATCAGCCTGTATTCTGAGGTTCAGAGATGGCGCGTGCACCGGGACCTTCCCCATGGACTGTCCCGGCCCGGCACAGGCGGATGGCACAGCATCGCTCCACACGGCTCAGTGGAACGTCAGGGCAACGGCGGGCAGTGTCTGTGTTGGTTGTAAACGTTGCGCCCTGTAACCAGACTCTCTTTTCTTGGCCACAGGTGCTGCTTGCAACAAACTACCCACATTTACTCAGTTTAGCTTCATGGTTTACAATTCTCTAAAGAGTCAGCCGGTGGAGGAGAAGGTAGCCTGCATCTAATCATTTTTTCCGTCAGTATCTGTATTTGGAGAAGAGAGAAGCAAAGGCTGAGAGGTGGCTCCCTCACTGCAGAGGGTGCCTCCTGTTCTGAAATCTTCCTGTAAAATAAGGACCGAAGTAAATGTGCGCTGAACTAGCACTTTCCCTTTTCATATGTGAAATTATTATCTTTTGCCCTTAAGCTTTGTATATGGCCTGAAAATGAACATGTACATGTATGTATCTTTCCTATCTTTCAATTTTAGATGATACTTAGATTTCTACTCATTGTTTTAAGGAATTGCTACTTTGGGGATTTGTTTCCATAGCAATATCTTAAAGCCAAAAGAAATAATCTATAATTATAGTATCCAAGTTTTTTAGACCCAAAGGAAGGAGTAGGGATGAGGCCAAGCATGGTCAGTCCTGATTGAATCTCCGTAATTATAGCGATGTGTCCCTTCTCACTGATGACCAGCTTTACAGGATGCTCCTTGCTCATCTGAGGGGAAAGGATGCTGTTAACAGTAAAGGTGCTTTTCTTTTGCACATGTTAGAAAATACAGGCAATCTTCTGATGAGCAGCCTTGTTGATTTTCTCTGGTCTGCTCCTCCGATAGAGCTCTCAGCGTGTGAAGGTTCTTTAGCCACAACCATCTCAGCTCTTTCAGCTGCTGAGAGTTAGTATAATAACTGCTTCTGAACATGATTTAGGAAGTTTGATCTCTCCTGTGGTTTTACTAGTCTCGTGCTGAGGTTGGTGATTGCAGTTAGAAATAAGTCAGTGAATCTGTCGTCCAGCTGGGTCTTGTTTTCCTGAGCTGTGAGTCCACCATCCAGCTGACACCAATACAGAGATGTGTGTGTGGGCTTTCTCAGAACCTTCTGTGCCCTCAAAATCATCACCTGTACCATCCGGAGTCAGTAATGACACCGTATGTACAGTGTTGTCCTCAAGCTTTAGTGTATCTGTTCTGTTTTTTCCTACTCATCTTAATATACAATGTTCTTTATCATTTCGGGCTAGAAAGCTGTAGTTTTGAGAAGGCTGTGAACTCACTTGTTGTCAGACCTTGCTGTGCATCATCACTGTCTGGGAGTCTTCTGCTCTATCCCGTCAGATTCTTCACACACGGGAACTTGAAAGCTGGGATTAGCAGCTACTAATTGTTGCATGGAAGGTAATGAGGAAGTAATCCTACAGCTTCACTCACAAAACAGAAGAGAAAATCCTACTTTTGAGGGTTGTCATGAGGTGCGTGGACTTGAACAAGGGAAAGAGGCAGGATTTAAACGTGCTGATTTATACTGATATCAGTGGAAGGCCCGTTTGCGTATTTGCTGTCTGTCACCACCTTAGGCAGCCACCCGCCACCAGAAAAATGAGATTGAAAGTCTCCATGGCCTGTCACTCCCAGCAAATCAGAAGCTTAGCTGACAAAATCAACCCTCATGTTTTTAAAGGTGTTTTTTTTCTCTTTCACATTTCTCCTGATGGCAATAATTGTTCTATAAATCTAATCTACAAATAAATGGAGTCCACTTCAGAAATATATTTTTAAGTTCTAGATTTGAATATAATATTTAAATGCTGCAGATGGGTTGTCATTTCTTCTGGAAAGTTAAAATCACTTCTTGTCCCTACTGGGGATGTGCCCGGGGAGCTCTCCTCTCATGATGATGTTTAGATACCAGTAATTGGGGGGTGGGGGAGACAGGTAGGAAACTGGTGAAATGGCACAGTTTGCAGAGAGCACTGTGAGCAAGTCATAAATTGAACTTGGAAATAACTCACTAAAACTTGGTAAAAGCAAGCAAGTTACTTGGGAAAGGAACCTTGGACAATTGAATCGTGACCTGACTTTTTGTGAAGGTTTGCTTCACACCTGTCCTGGTGTGCACATGCCTGGCTGTTAGGTAGCTTAGGGTAAAGGTGAGAGGTAGTTATAACACTGTACTCCGCCAGGTTTTTTTCCTTTCACCCTGTAGAAAATATTTTTTGGGGTTTTTTTTGCTTGCCTACTAAGGTCAAACTAAATGGTCCTAGCAGCCCTTGCCGGGTAGCTCAGTTGGTTGGAGCATCATCCTGATATGCCAAGGTTTCGGGCTGCATTCCCAGTCAGGGCACATACCTAGGTTGTAGGTTCCATACCCAGCTGGGGCTCATAGGCAACAGATTGACACTCACACGTAGTAGCTGCAACGCCGTCCGGCAAGCATGGTGGCAGCTTTCTTTCTGGACTCTTTTCAACAGTGTTTCTACAGCAAGAGCCTTGAAGACTGAGACAGCATCTCTCTCATGGGCAAGGGGGCAGTTTGTCCACTGTTTGGTATAATAGACAGTCTGTCCTTTTGAGGCAAAGGTTTGATTGCAGCCTCCTTACAAAAGATTTGGGTGGTTCCTCAGCTCTGGTGCAAACTTACTGTGTGCAGTAGTCACCTGTGTCCACCTCTCTACCCCTAGGGGACCTAATAGAAGCCTAAATGTGAAGATCGCGCTGCTGGCTGGGCTGTGAGCAAGAAAGTCCTTGGTCTCTGACCCAGGTATCTCTTGTCTTCTGCCAGTTTCACGTTAGCGGTCAAGTAGGGTCAAGTCTGATTCTTCATCATTCCTGACACCGTCAGCAGTAATCAGTAAAAATCCCTAATTTTGTTCTTACTCACTGTACTTATACCTGTGGGGTAAAACATTGCAGACCTGCAGTTAAGTTGAAAGTAAGAACAAAGACTGCAGTGCAAACCCTAATGGATGTTTTGACAATGGCCAAGGACGACCCTCTGAGGAGGTTCACATGGTGAACATGGAATTAATGGTGATAAAATGTCCCAACCCCCCACTACCCTATCCAGGAGACCATCCAAAACACCTGAACATTATGTTCATTCCTTGGAGTGAAATAACCGGAGTCAGTAACTAATGTGATTAAAACTGTAACAGGTTGCACTACTTAATAATGCACAGCAAGTCACCGATAGGAGTTTCCTCCCTTGTTCTAACTGTTCTTAACAGATCTTGAGTTACTCTTAAGGAATTCTGACCTGAAGTTTTTAGAAATATACCTGTGTGCTGTACACATATAAACAAACAAAAAAACAAACAAAAAAGCCAAACATGTCTATTTCCAATATCAGCCAGCAGTTCCTTTGGTTACAAATCATGGGCTATAGTGTATCCTTGATTGAGATATTACACACAGACTATAACACACTTTAAAGTCCCATTGTTTTCAATTGTTAAAGTTCTTTCTAAAGTGTCATTGCATCTAATGCTTGGTGATTGAATTTGGAGCTAAGCACATAATTGAACTCACTTAGTATCTTAATCATTTAATTAAACTCATTTGGGAAAAAACGGTGACATAAATGTCCTAATTGGATGCTAATTATGAAGATAAGAGGGTTCTAAAAAGGCATATTTAAACTTTTTGCTTGTTTTCCTGACTTACGCTATTTATGTTACTCAGTATACTTTCAACCCCTGACTTAGGTTAGAAAGATGACATCATGAGATCTGCAAAAGGCACAAACTGTTTGTGGGTCCTAGGTGCCCTGTGACAGATGTTTCCTCGTACAACCCAGGGTCGGCCGTAGGAAGTGCCATGTCTCCAGGTTTGGGGAGAACACGCCCACTTGAAGAATAAAGTAATTTTCACATTTAAAATGGGTGTAAGGGGAGTTAAAGTTGCCATGATCGCCCTCTTTGCTCCTGAGTTACCGGCCGGCAGTCATCCAGGGTTCTAAGGCGTGGGCCGTGCACCAAAGAAGGGGAGGCTTAACCCTGCGAACCCTCTCTGCTGGGCACTGGTGTGGGTGCTCGTTCATTCCCTTTCATTAAAATGCGCTTTCTGTGAAGTGGATGTTGACATATAAGAAATCCCAGTAGATGTGGGAAAGCAAAGTCTCCCAGTGGCCGCTGTCTCTCACCTGTGCTAAGTCTTAAGCACCATCAATGTCAAAATACTTCTTTCCTTTCCCAAATAAAGCCAGTGTCATCTGTCTGTCTTTCCTGTTCTGTTCACTGTGATTAAGGCCGATAGAAAATTAAACCAAAGGCAAGTCTCGAATAAAAGCCGCATCAGGCAACCCAGGTTCCCAGTTCACTCAGTTCAGTTCTAAGGAGGCCGGAGCAGTGCTGTGTGGAGCCTGCTTTTACCTCGGGCCCCACTGTTAAATTGTTAACGCCCCGAAGGTAGCCATGGGGGAGCATTTATACCTCCCACGTCAGCAGACATTACTAATTAGCGCTTGTTTTTCCTCCTGGAGAGACGTCCACCAGCACATCCCCGACTAAAAGTGTTTTGAGATATTGCGGCAGATGGATCACACACACACACACAGAGTTAGGAGGATGGTTGGGTTCACGCCTGGCTCTGTCCCTTTGCTGTGTGCCCTAGAGCCGTTAACTCCCCTCCTTCGCGCCTGTGTTTTCTATAGAATGGGAATGATGAAGGCGATGGTACCCACCTTACAGGATCGCAGGGTTGTGGCGGGCCACCCGTCTGAAGTACAGCATGTCACACAGAAAGGCTCAGAAAGGCCGGCTGGTATTGTTGCCTAAGCCCAGCAGGGAATCGGGCTAAAAACTCCCAAATAGAACACACCTGCATATAGGAAATTAGGAGCAGGCTAGTGCCAGGCCTTCCATGTACAAAACACAAACCCGATGCTGGGAAACAATGAAGCTGCCAACTTTTACTACTTTTCCCCCAGAAAAAAAAAATGATCACACATTTTAAATGACCAAGAAAGTGTACGGGCTAAAATAAAGATGTGCGCACGTGTAAGAGTCAGAAACGGCACTCCCCGTGCACTGTCCTAAGTGCTTCCGCGGGCTCTACAGCAAGGGGGCAGGATGGGAGGGCCGGAGGCTGGGCCCGGGACGCAAGGGCTCCGACTCGGGAGCTGAGTGGCGCCGGCTGTAGAGCAGGCCTGGCCTGCTGACTGCACCGGGAAGGAAACTGAGGCTCGAATCAAGTTGAGAAGAAGTACAGCGAACGGCAAGAGAGGAGGAAGGGAGGGAAGAGAAGGGGAAAAGTGTTTGCTAACAGCCCTTAAAATGAAACCACACACCTTGCTTTTTGCAGCTCTGGAGTCTGGGAAGTCCAGCAGGTCAGCTGCCTGGTGAGAACCTGCGCCGGGTGTGCAGGGGTGTCCCTCCCGACAGGCCCGGCGGAAGCAGGCTCTCTTCCACTCCTGCAAGGGCGCTAATTCCTCTCATGAGGGCTCCACCCCGTGACCTCATCTCATCCTAATTACCCCCAAAGGCCCAGCCTCCTAATGCCACCACACGGGATTAGATTTCAACATTCAAATGGGG